TACAATGTACGATCATTGTTACTCCAGCGGTCGGTTGGCAAGGGGACGATGTTTCTGAAGCCAGCCATAGCAGGAGCGAGCGAGCGAACAAAAGCGAACACGAACGAGCGAACGCGAGCGAGCGGAAAAAAAGTGGTCGGTTTCCGGTCGGAAAGCAGCGAGCGGTCGGAAATTAAGCGATAAGCGGTCGTCAAAAAAGCGATAAAAGCGGGAGGTTGAGCGGAATGAGTACTGTATACATGTTAGGATACATGTCCATGACGATTTATTTCGCAATTGGATCAAAGATGGTCGATTCGCAGGCATCTTGTTTTTGTTTTTATGCAGTATCTTGGACGTTCTCTGTCAGTTTTCATTCAAATTTGGCACATACATGTACTTTATACATGTTAGGGTGCATGTCCATGACAATTTGTTTCAAAATCTGGTCAAGGATGGCCGATTGACAGCCATCTGACTTTTTGGCCTTACTACTATATTTCCACAATTTATGTACCATTTTCATTTGTATTTAGCACATACATCATACATATCAGTGTGTTTCATAATCAGATCAAAGATGGCCGAATAACAGCTGTTTTTATTTTTGGCCATAATACTACTACATGGAACACATGTTTTGATGTAAATAAACAATCTGTTGTATACGCTTGCGACAACCCCTCCGCTTTAATATGACGAGCACAAAGAGAACTTTCAAAAATTTAACGGGGATTGTGTCATTTTCAATGACTTGTTAGCTCCGCTGTCGACTTTGTCGAGCGGAGCTTATCATACGAGTGAGCGTCCGTGTCAATGTTTTATATTTTTGACTTCTTCTTGAAAACTACAAGCCTGAATGCTTTGATACTTGGTGTATATGTGCCTTGGGTAGACCTCTCTCAGATTTGTTGATTTCATGATGATATCTTCAATTCTCTAATTTTAATGATTATTTTTGACTTTTTTGGTAAAAAGTGATATTTTCGACTTCTTGTTGAAAACCGTAATTCCAATTGCTTTGATATTACATATATAGGTACTACATGTCGACCCCTCTCAGATTTGTTCATTTTGTAATGATATCTTTAATTCTCTAATTTTGGTAAATATTTTTGTCATTTTTGGTAAAAAGTGATATTTTCGACTTCTTGTTAAAAAAAACAAGTCCAACTGCTTTGATATTACATATACAGATACTACATATAAACCACTCACAAATTTGTTCTTTTCATGATGATATCTTCAATTCTCTAATTTTTATGAATATTTTTGTCATTTTTGGTAAAAAGTGATATTTTCTTCTTGTTAAAAACCACAATCATTTAAAACAGCAAGTCCTATTGCATTGATACTGTGCATATT